AGGCCTAGAAGTTCAAGATGGGTGCTGTCTCGAGCACTCTTGCTTAAGTAAATTTTATCCCAGAATATGTTGAAACTTTTCTGAATGTACTATAAATGATGCAACCTGCAATCAAATATAAAGAAATTGAGATATTGATTGAACTGTACATGGATTTCCAAATCCCACATATTTAGGGCTATCAGAATTGGACTGTAACAGTGTGATTAAACACTAGATGGTAGCAGTGCACAAAAGGCAAAGGGATCTGGCACCAATTCTTCAGCAGAAACAAAAAGAGAGACAGGGACCCCTAGGAAAGATTCATAGTCCTAACTACTGACCCATGAAGACTAAAACCTCAGTGAGGAACAGATCTCTATTGATACTGATCGACTTCTCAAGATGAAATTTACATTCATTATGTTAGAAAAGTCAAATTGTAGAATAAATTCCCTCTAAACCCTATGGTTGAGTTTCTGTATCCCCTTCTCATTCAACTTATTGATGACTGCAGGAGACCAGGTTTTGAATGCTTGGTGGTACCTACCGTACTAGTAGGTCCCTACTAGTAGGTCCCTACTTTGCCCTTGGGCAAAGACCCCTTAATACTTCAGCTGCCTAACTAGAATATGAGAGTGACATAAATTAAGAGAGTCATGCCAGCTCGGACTTCACCTGGTTAACATGGTCAACATCAGATGTTGGAAAACCAGAACATATATATGGATGGACAGAAGAGCTACATCCATACTAACTGAGAAATACTATAGCTAGTTACCCAATGCTTCCACATATTGAAAAGGAAGCTGATCTCACTACTTGAGATAGACCAACTACACATTACATTCCAGACTCAAGGAGACCCGACAGAACAACTAGATGTGCAACTAACACTTGAACCTGGAATATAACTGCCACCCTTGCCATTACAGAACACAAAAGCTGATATGAGGCATAAGATCATGGATAAACTAGCTGTAATCATCTCTCAAGACTGATTACCAAGGCTCAGTGGAGAAGTGCCATCAGATAGTATGCTAGAAGATGCTAATAGAGCCCTCACGGCAATCCCTACTACCACCATAACTCAAATCAATGAACTGGTATACACTACAGCTGCTGTAATCCTTGAGATGCCTGGCCACATGATCAAGAAGAACAGCAGTACATACTACCACCACCCCCGTAAAATTAGGTTGGAGGCTAAGATCAAGGCCACTTGGAGAGAAGTTAGTCAGCTAATGGAATTACAAAGGGTGTGGAGGTTAAAGATAAGACTCAGCTACTGAAAAAATACATGGACCTGACACCATCTGAAGCCCTAGAGACTGCTAAACAAAGACTCACAGCACTGGCTGCCAGGCTAAGTAGATACAGTAGAGAAGCAGAGGGCAAGAAGATAAATGCCCTGTTCTGCTAAGAATCATCCAAGGTGCATTCCCAATTGCAGTGCAGCAACACAGTAACCGCAGAACCACCAACAACAGAAACTGAACAGTACTGGAAGTAGTTTTGGGAGAAAGAGAAGACACATAACACCAGTGCAAAATAGCTACAGGACTTGAAAGCAGACCAGGGCAATCTCCCAGAACAGGAATCAGTTACCATCATAGTAGTAGACATCCAACAGTGGGTCAAGAACATGAAGTACTGGACAACACCTGGCCCAGACATGATTCACAACTACTGACTAAAGAAACTAATAGCAGTGCATGAAAGCCTTGCAGCGCAGATGAACCAGCTGCTAGCAGCAGGCACCCACCCAGACTAGCTAACACAAGGAAGGACAATGCTGATCATGAAAGACCCCCACAAGGGACAGCACTGGCCAATTACTGTTCAGTAAGTTGCCTCCTCACAATATGGAAAGTCCTAACAGCATCATAGCCACCAAGCTACAGGACCATATGGACCACTACATCACAGCTCAGAAGGGCATTGGGAACAACACCAGAGGCTCAAAACACCAGTTGCTCATAGATAGAGCAGTCACCCAAGACTAAAGGTCTAGACAGACCAATCTTAGCACAGCCTGGATTGAATACAAGAAAGCCTATTACTCAATGTCACATAGATGGATCTGTGAATGCCTGGAGCTATACAAAGTCAATAGGACACTAAGGTCCTTCCCCAAGAGCTGTGGTACACAACACTGGAATTACACCAGATTTGCTTCAGAAAATATTTGTGGAATTGGGTAATAAATTTGCAAAATCACTTGATACTAAATTGACTAAATCGCTTGATACCAAATTGGCAGCTTTTGAAAAATGGGTGAAAGTCTTGTAAAGATGAAAGAGGAGACGAAAGAAGAATGTAAGAAGTTGGAAAGCTATTTAAACAATTATCTGGAGAGGTAAAACAAGTTAACAAAAAAAAATTTTTTTAAACAAGAAAATAAAAACTAACAGAAACTAATATTTAAGATAAAGAGAAGAAAAAAGAGCAGAGAAAAGGAAAGAACAAAGCCAAAAGTGCAGAAAAAAAGAAAGATAAATGAAATATAAAGAAATTATTTCCGATTTTCTTTTACAACAATTATAGGTATAAATTTCAAGTGAACTCTTACTCTATGGTTACAAAATAACGTTCATTTTTCTATCATCTATTATTTTTTCTAGTCATCAAACCCACGTATCATAATTTCATTTTTTTTTTTTTTTGCCCAAAAAGTCCAAAAGGGGTTTCCAATCAGCATTAAACTTAATTAGTGTCTGCTCTCTAATCATGGTGACTTGCCATCTCTGCAAACTCCATCAACTTCACCATCCATTTGATATTGTGGGTAATATCAAACCTTTCAACACTGTGCATATAAGAGTCTCAAACAGTTATCATGTGTTTAGATATGCATTTATGATTGGTCATCATCCATAAGAAAATAAATTCAGCAAACCTACAGACCAAGGGGAATCGTTTTCTTTTCTCCTTTCAAAAACGCCTTCTGTTTCAGCTACCAGATTGTTCTGGAAGTCACATTTATAGTAAGGGATTCATTGGCTTGGTGTAGAGATCAATTGCATTGTGGCTGTGTAAGTATGTCAAGCACTAAAAATGTTGTAGGTGTTGAAGCAGAAGGTGGAATTAGTTTAGATCTGGGGATAATCCCAAATTCCACATTATTTATTTTGTTCAGAAGAACCCTTCACATATTTCCAATTTAATACAGAAGAACACTTAACCCTAACCAATATGTTTGCTAAGGATGTTGTCATGAATACAGAGTATGACAGGAGATCAGGGAAGAGGGAATCCATGTTTTTAATCCAGTACTATATAGCCATTGTTCTGTGGAAGTTAAAAGCAAACTTACACACATAGACACATAAAATATGCTCATGTATATAAGTACACACACACACACACACACTATTATCTAGTAATGAGAAACAATAAAAACTAGGAGGGAATTATGACTTATATCAATTATATACTTACAGATGATAGAGTATGCTATGATTTGTCTCCCTTCCCTTCCCTTCCCTTCCCTTCCCTTCCCTTCCCTTCCCTTCCCTTCCCTTTTTTTTTCCCATTTGAAAGCTAGTATATTAAATGTACTAAATAGTATTTTTGACTACTTTCAGGTTGCCTAATTGGGAGCCATTCTCCCTCCCCCCAATTTTTATACAGTGCAATAAGCATAAAAATATGCAGGAATATCTTTATTTCTGTTCATAAATAATAAAGCTGTTAATATAACAACTGCTGTTGCAAACATTAACAGTCCTGGAGACAGTGTTAATATTATGTACTCCTGAAATGAAAAAAGGAAAAAGAAAAAGTTGGCATTGTGAAAGACAGATATGGGCATGGTAGAGTTTGAAAAATATGACCAACTCTTTACATGGAGTCAAACTCCATTTCCTGTAAGGGATGTTTTTGGAATGTGATCTTATTAGTAACAATGAATGACTGGGAAATTATACTGCCCATGATGAGCTTCCCTGGATGATAACATTTATGAAGAATACTGGGCTCATGTTTAGTGCAGTTTGTAAAAGAAATCTTGCACAGAATCTTAGGAAAAAAATACTATCAGCACCCAAAGAATGGCAATCATAAAAAAAAAAAAAAAACTTCTTTTCAAAAAGCAGTTCTCCATCTCTCACACCAAAGAGAGAAGATGCTCACATTTTCAAGTCAAGTGTGAATTGCATGCCAGGCCACTATAGGATAACCATTGTGTTTTAGACACCACTTCATTATACTCCTAGCCCTGAAGATCACAGAGAATATTTAATCAATCCTTTAATCTACAGAATAAGAAGGATATGAAGAAACTGGATCTGAAGTTAGACAGACAACTGCACACATAGGATGACAATTCCCCCTAAAAGACGGCCTATTGAGATTATTGAAGGAGATCCAGCTAGTGGACCACTCAAAGCCAGAGATGCTTCAAAGGAAGAGATTGATTCTCTGTACGAGAACCATACCTGAATATTAACAGAAAGACTTGCTGCAAGAAAAGCTGTTGAGTTAAAAAAAAAAAAAGTGTTTGAAGTCAACATGATGCAAACCGGGGCCTGCAGATGGTCTGTCATGGCATATAATTCTCTTAAAATTCCTACTTGTATTTCTGGATCTTAGGCCTTTGCTGTAGGTGCTGTGAATACACTTGGTTTTTAAAGTATGCTCAACTAAGTATAGAACAGACCCTAAAGAATGAACTGTATGATTTCAACCAGGGTTACATCAGATTGGGCTAATCATCTCTTTAGAACAACCAAAATAGTCACAGCTTGGTTTGAAACACAATTTACTTACTGTAGCTGCTTTGACTCACAGACTATATATCTCATATTCATTATTTCCTCATCTACCACTGCACCAACTAAAATGATGTTTACAGCACTTTGTTTCTAATCTCTTCTATTAAGAAAGAATTATGAATGCTCATAATATTCCCTTTAAGGTAAGTCTCAAATTACTGTTGAATAAGATTAATTGCAGCCTGTCTAATGTGGTTCCACTAGTGGAGGGGGAAAAAATGAAGTAACTATTGTTGACCATATTGGTTAATTTACTCTTTTTATTAAGTGCTCCCGTTTATTAAGGTCAGGTCTAATTATAATAAGGTAGCATTTGGGGAAAAAGACACAAGCCAGGAGCCCACCACTGGAGGCCAGGATGGAGAAAGTCTCCACAGCCACCATGTACTTCCCCTTGGTGCTCATGTAGGCAGGGACAAAGGACAACCACACACTGCAGAACATCAGCATGCTGAACGTGATGGATTTGGCTTCCTGGAAAGTGTGTGGTACCTTCCTAGCTAGGAAAGCTGCAATAAAACTGACAATAGCCAGGAAGCCCATAAAAGACAAGACACTATAAAACACGACAACTGACCCTTCATTGCATTCCACAATGATTTCAGAGATGAAGGAGCGCATATCAAAGTCCGGGAAGGGGGGTGAGATTCCCAGCCACACAGTACAAAGAAGAGTTTGAATAAGGGAGCAGGAAAGAACTATGAAAAAGGCCAGTCTTTTCCCCACCCATGTCCTCATCCTTGATCCTGGCTTGGTGGCCATGAAAGCCAAGACCACCGTGATAGTTTTGGCCAACAAACAGGAAACAGCCACTGAGAAGATGATCCCAAAAGCAGTCTGTCGAAGGAGACAAGACATCTTCACGGGTTGACCGATGAAAAGCAGAGAACTAAGGAAGGAGAGGAGGAGGGAGATGACGAGGGTGTAGGAGAGGCTGCGGTTGTTGGCC